TGCATTATTCATAAAAAAAAAAAAAACTAATAGTTTGGGGGAAGGAAGCACTATGGTGGGAAAAAGGCACATTGACACCAAATACTAAACTGTCTGAGGGGAAAATAAAGCCTATTTGGATTATTTATGAATTGTTGTTGTTGTTGTTGTTGTTTTCAATTAAACCATACCAGTTCTAGAAGAAAATACAAGTGGATTCCTATTTAATCTTAGTCTTGGGAAGGCTTTCTTTCTTTTTTTTTTTTTTTTTTAAGTTTATCCATTTAGAGAGAGAGTGTGTGAGTGCAAGCGGGGGAGGGGCAGAGGGAGAGAGAGAGAGAGAGAGAGAGAGAGAAAGAGAGAGAATCCCAAGCAGGCTCCTCACTGTTAACACAGAGCCCAACGCGGGGCTCGAACCCACAAAAAGTGAGATCATGACAAGAACCAAAACCAAGAGTCAGATGCCTAGCCAACTGAGCCACCCAGGAGCCCCAAGAAAGGCTCTCTAACAAAGACTTAAACTCCATAGGTAGTTGTCTTGTTCTGTTTGGGATGCTGTAACAAAAATACCATAGACTGGGTGGCTTAAACAGTAGACATTTATTTCTCATGGTTCTGGAGCCTGGAAAGTCCAAGATTAAGGTATCTGTAGATTTAGTGTTTGAGAGAACCCACTTCCTGGTTCACAGATGGTCATCTCACTATGTCTTCACATGGCAGAAAGGGCTAGTGAGCTCTCTGAGATTATAAAGGTACTAATCCCATGCATAACAAGGACAGGAAGTACTAATCCCATTCATGAGGGCTCCTCCCCAATCATCCTCAAAGGCCCCATCTCCAAACACCATTGCATGAGGAATTATATTTCAACATACGAATTGCAGGGCTGAGTGGGGATACGACCATTCAGTCTATAGCAGTAGCAAAAGATTGATAAATTTTACTACATAAATTTTTTTAAATTGTTTTTAATGTTTATTTATTTTGAGAGAGGGAGAGACAGTGTGAGTTGGGGAGGGGCAGAGACTGGGAGACAGAGGACCTGAAGCAGGCTCTGCCCTTTCAACCCACAGCCCGATGTGGGGCCCAAACTCAAGAACCATGAGATCATGACCTGAGCCAATGTCAGATGCTTAACCAACTGAGCCACCCAGGTGTGCCAGTACAGAATTTTTTTTTATTTAATATGAAATTTATTGTCAAATTGATTTCCATACAACACCCAGTGCTTATCCCAACAGGTGCCCTACTCAATACCCATC